CATGAAAGTATCTTATTTCTCCATCAATTTTGAAAGATAGTTTTGCAGGGTACATCAATCTGGGTTGGAGGCTGTTTTCCTTTAGTACTTGGAATACATCACTCCAAGCTCTTCTTGCCTTGATGGTTTGCATTGAGAAGTCTGCTGTGATTCTAATGGGCTTTCCTGTGTATGTGATTTGTTTTTCTCTCACTGCCTGTAGAAGTTTGTTCTTCTGTCGGATTTCTGGAATCCTAACTATCATATGCCTATGTGTAGTTTTTTTTTTTGATCAAGGCTAGCTGGAGTCCTATATGCCTCATTTATCTGTATGTCAAGTTCTTTTCCCCTCCTCGGGAAGTTTTCTGCCATCACTTCTGTGAACAATTTTTTTTATGTCATCTGCACTCTCTCCTGTTTCATCAATTCCAATCAGTCTTATGTTATTCATCTTTGCATCGTCTAGCAGCTGCTGGATTGATTTCTCGTGTTCTCTTACAATTTTAAAGCAATTTTTCTTTTCCTGGTCACTAATTTCAATCTTATCTTCTATATCTGAAATTCTATCCTCACATTGGTTTATTCTGCTGTGTAGACTTTCGATGGAGGTTTTAATCTCCTGGATATCTGTTTGTATCTGTTTTATGGATTCCATTTGTTTCCTATATTGGGATTCCATCATATTCCTCAGCTCCTCTCTAGATTTATTAATCATGACTTGCACTAGGAGCGCAATCTCTGCTGATATCTGAGAAATTATTTTTGATTTCATTTTTTTATAGATCCTCTTTTGTTTCTAGTTCAAGGAGTCCAGGTGGTTGAGTATCAGAGTGTTCCATCTCCTTTCCCTTTGAGGTTGCTGTAGGTGATCTGGAAGTCTGGTTTTGAGACTTGTTTACGTGTCTTCTCATTTTGATGGTGGGGGTGCTTTTGGTACCTGCAAGACTCACCTCCTCTGAGCCTGCAGTGGTGGAACAGTGGTTTGGAATCCCCTACCTCTTGGCTTGGAGTGGTGGAATGGCGGCCCAGAAGCCCCTTCCTGTGGGCTGGGAGTGGTAGAATGGTGCTTTGGTAGCCCTCTCCTCTGGGATGGGAGTGGTGGAACCACCAGTGTCCCTCTTCCAAGTTCCAAAATCGTCCTGGGAGATCCGTGTGCTGTCTCTTTTACTCCATGTTTGTCTGACAGATAGGTTCACCTGTGGATCCCATTCATATCCACGTTGAGCAGCAAATGTAGGGAAAGGGAAAGCGTATGTTACTAGAACCTCTACATCAGGTCCTAGTCTCCTGTGAGCCAAAATAGCTCAAGGCAAATTAACTTAATAGACAGAAAAGATAGAAAAAATAAGAGTTAGAGGAGAAGCTGAGCTTTCGGACTGATCAGTGCTGCTCTGGGCAGCAAGGAGCCATAACAACCTTTTATGATGTCACAATCAGATGTGGATGACTTGAGGTGGGAATTAGGTGGCAAGAGAGCAGAGGGACTTTTGGAAAAAAAAGGAAAGCACAAAAATACTCTTTCTACATAGAGATCTCCTTGGTAAAAAGAAAGATGGAGAGATAAATAAAGAAGCATTGAGAATCATTTCCAAACAGCATCAGAGAAATTAGAGATGGCAATTAGCAACATTTGTGAGCAGTGTTTGTTTCCTTTCAGGCGTTATGAATGATGAATCTGCAGGACTCTCTTGGGATGATAAACAACATGCATGATGAGGAAATTAAAACTTGAAGAGGTTAAGGAATTTTCCAGGGACTGTGAAGCAAGCCTGGGAAGTTTTGAGGGGATGATTGAGATGATATTAATAATGCAATAAACAGGCATCAATAAACTTTTTTTGTAAAAGGCAAAATAGTAAATATTTTAGGCTTTGTGGGCCATATGGTCTCTTTCTTAACTAATCAACTCTGATTTTATCACACTAACTCAGCCAAAGACAATATATAAAAAAATGGAGGTACAGTGTTCCAGTAAAGCTTTATTTAAAAAATAGGAGATGGATGAGATTAAATACAAGACATCCTTAAAATAGAGAATGATAGAATGTGCTTTAAATGTAAAAGTGCTTGATGATAGAATTGATACTAGACCCATCTCTGAAACTTACCGGCTCTTCTATTATGGTGTCATGATTGAAAAGATTACATGTGTTCTGAGGTTGCAACTTTTTCATTTATTTAACATTCGCTGTGGATGTACTTCATGAAATAATCTGTTCTGGACTATTGAAGTATAGCAGTGAACAAATCTGTCATCCAGAGTTCTAATTAGCTATGCTAGCTGGGGAAAACAACTAACCAAAGACAGCTCTATTTTCTCTTTTGGAGATCTTAATTTTAATCATGAGCCATATTAAATGTGCACAATAATCTATAATATTTATATGGAGGACATAGAAATAAAGTAAATATCCATTTGCCTGTCATTCATGTTAAGAATAATACATCACTAATACTAAGAAGTTCCATGTGTGTCTATCCAAGGACAGCTTCATAATATTGTTATTTCCCATGGCTTAACCGCATATAAATATTTAAGAAAAATGTATATACATAATTTTTCCTCCTTGATTTTTAAGAATATTTGAGTCATAATATCTTCTGATATGCATCTTTCACTCAATATTTTCTTGCCATTCATCCGTGGAAATGTATGCAGCTATTGATAGAGTCTGAGGCCAAAGATCACGAGGGCCAAGTCTGAAGTCAAGTGTTATGAGATTTCTGAACTGGATGCAGCACAAAATAATGGAGAATCATTGAGCTTTACCAAAGAGGAATTATGGAGGGCATTTATAGGATTTGGAAGGTGGAGTAGGTCATAGATTGTCTTGGCAAGGATTGGTCAGAATTTGTAAGCCAGGGAGTTGATCTTAACTTTAGAAAACATGAGTCCATTTAGAGATTCTGCCAGATCAGGTAGTAGTTTTATTTTGGAATATATGGTTTTGGATAAAGTTGTATTAAAGGAGTTTGAGCTTAGAGGGTGATTGATGATGCATATGGTGGCTCAGCTGGCTACAGTTTTTCTTGTGTGTTAAGGTGCATTTTAAATGGTATATTTTACAAGTTGTTTAAATGATCCATTCTCCCCTTATGCCTTACTGTAAGGAGGGACATTAAAACAAATAAATAATAGTTTATTTTCATTGCTATATAATAGTCTGCTAAATGAGTGTATCACATTTGCTAATTGATTCTTTTGTCAATAATACTTGAATATTTGCTGTTGTAATAGTTGGTTCTGTGCTGTGATTAAATATTTCCCTGAGCCAGCTGTATACCTAGAAGGGAATGACAGGATCTAGGAGTAGGTAGATGCTCAACATTACCAGAAAAACCCAGCCAATTCTGGAGTGGTTATACAAAGTTACCTTCCTGCCAGTTATGGGTGAGAGTAATTTCATATCCTAGCTAACTTTGTAATTCATCAAGGTTTCTAAATTTTGCCAGTCTGATCAGTCTACAGTATGATTGAAAAGTATGGTGTATGTTTAAATTTTTAAAAATAATTACAGTAACAGATGCATGACCATTACTTCTCAGAATACTCACCCTTGCTCTGAAACCCACCCTCCCATTATTCTTTTTTTTAAAATTAATTTTATTGGTACATTTAAGGTATACAGTATAATGACCTTCATCATTAGAGATATGCACCTTTATATAATCTCTCTTGGTTCTTATTTTTCCCCCTTCCCCTGCCCTCCCTTCAACCCCTCCATCCCTCTGCATTTACAAAGACTTTGTTTCCATTTTTTTGTTTTCTCATATAAATTCCATTGCCTTCTTTCCTTTCCCCTACCCCTCCCACTTCCCCTTTCCCTTTTCCCCTTTTCTTCCTATTTCTCATTATCTCTTATAACTTTTAGTCCTCATTTACTTTCAGTTTCTCACACTAGAAAAACTATTCAGTATTTATACGTCCTATTTATTTCACTTAAGAGTATCACCTCAATGTGCATCCACTTAGCTATAAATGTCTCTAATTTTTCATTTTTTATCGCTGAGTAGTACTCCACTTTATAAAAAAAAAGCCTCATTATTCTGGCCACTTTATGAAGCAGTTCTGGAAGATCTGTTTTATATCTTAGTTGTGCTATCATGGCTGCCTTAATGCCCTGAACTGCTTCAAAATGTTTAGCTTTTGTGGTCCTTTTGACTTTGTGGAAGAGCCAGAAGTCGCATGGTGGCAGATCTGGTGAACTAGGTGAATGAGGACACACTGTAATATTTTTATGAGCCCACCTTTCCATTGGATAATTCTTAGCAGCAACATTCATCTTATATTTTGGTCATACCTTGTAGAGATACTCCAGAAAGAGAACTTCCAGAACTGCTTCAGAAAGTGGTAAGAACAATGGGATAAGTGTGTTCAAAGTCAGTGGGACTATTTTCAGCAAAATTAATGGCAATGTGTCTTTATTGTAATAATTTTAAAAATTAGATATTCATTGTATATTTTGATCACACCTTGTAAGCCATTTTTATAGGCGTGTGGGTCCATTTATGGTATCTTAATTCTAATATGTTGTTTTAGTTGTCCATTTGTGCATCCATGTTATGCTAATTTAATTTTTATCACTTTAAATAAATTTTTGGTACCTGATGGGAAAACCTTGTACTTTTTTTGCCTGTTTATAAGTGTTTTTAACTATTCTTGAGCATTTTTATTTCTAAAGAAGTTTTACTATCAGGGATTCAAATCAAAAATATAAAACACCTACTGGGATTTATTTATTGAAAATATATATATATACATGTGGAAAAAATGATATTTCAATGATATGGAGTACTCCTACCTAGGAAAGTTCCAAGAACATGTTATATTTACCTATTTAGGTGTGATATTTTAATATTTTCATAAAGTTTTATGCTTTATGATTTTTGTATAAATAGCTTGCTTACACATCCTAATTTTATTCTTAGATAATCTACATATTCGTGGGCTATCATAAATAATTTATTCTCTTTGAAAATGATACCTACAATGTATAGAGAAAGAAGATTGACTTTTCTATACCAATTTTGTTTTTAGAAAATCATGTATGGTAGTTTTAAAATGTAAATAATTTTCTACACATTATTTTCAGCTTTCCATGTAGATAATAATATCATCTATAAATGGCAGGCTCTTCCCTTTTGTTTCTAAGTGTTATATTACTTATTTTCACTAATTTTTAATACAGTGAGAATAATGTTTAGTTGCAGAAATAGTGACAGTGGGTATCTTTGTACTGACTCTGATCTTAAATACCTTATAATTACTAAGTATGACATTTACTGTAGGGTTTGTGTGTGTGTGTGTGTGTGTGTGTCTGTATGTATTCACTTCTGAGGTTAAGAAGGTGTCTTTCAAGTTCCCATTTGCTAAAATATTTTTAATATAAATGGTTATTGAATTTTATTAGATGTTTCTTCCCGTATCTATTATGGTTATCAGAGAGTTTTTCTTCTTTAATCTGTTGTTGAGATAAATCACATTAATTGATTTTCTAATATTAAACACACTTTTGGAATAAACCTATTTGTCATAATATATTGTATTTTTAGCAAGTGCTTGATTAAATTTGTGCTTATTTTGTTTAGGATTTGCATATATGCATGTATATTCATGATTGTAAGAGGCTTGTAATTTTCCTTTTTATTTTTATTATCTTTGTTTGCTATGGGTATTAAGGGTGCAGTTACACCTTAAAATGAGATTGAAGAAATATTTTTTTTCAAGAATATTCCTAGAAAAGTTTATGCTGCTTTAGAATGATCTGTCCCTCATATTTTGGGAGAGGATTTTCCTGTATAGCTCTCTGGTTCTTGTGTTTTCTTGTGAGAAGTTTACAACTTACTGATTCAACTCCTTCAATGATTATTTTTTATGGTTTTCCTACATATATGTGAGACAAGCTTGACAAGCTGTCTTCCCCTCTTTATTTCTAAATAATCATAGTTTTAAAATTGTTCAAATAACATTGACTTTATTTCTTTTCATTCTTTTGGTTTTTCTCAATTTTTAGTTTTTATTACTATATGTTTGCAGTACATATGATTACATTCCTTGTAGGGTGTTTGTACATTTACATAACATATCTTAAGTTTTTTTCATTCCTTTCTCTTTCCCTCTCTCCCTTCCCTCTGTCTCTTCATCCTCCTCCCTCTGGCCAAATATCTATTCCCTATTTCCTACTATCTATCTTTTATTCTCCTCTTTATTTATATTTTGGGTTTCTCAGATGAGAGAAACCATATGATATTTAAGCTAGTGTATCTGATTTATTTCATTTAATCTGTTTTAAGTTCTTCAGTTTGTGTAGTGATGTCTTTACTATCATTATCAATGTTTATACCTTTTCCGATGTAAACATCGAATTCAATCCATTTCCCTTTCGCTTGATACCAATGGCATTTCTGTGTGCTATTTTCATTTTATTTAATTAGCTTTTTCTAATATTCATTATAGTTCATTTTCAACCCATGAATTATTCAGCATCTTCTTTTAAAATTTTCAAATATGTGAAAAGTTTCTAATATCAAATTTTACCTATTTGATGTCTGTTATAAATTAATTTTATTATTAACAAAAAACATTATCTGCTTTTTGCTCATCTTTTGATATTGTTCAGCTTGCTTTTATGGCTTGATGTATGATTGATTTTTGTAAACATCTTATATGCATGGAAGGAACATGAATTCTTCAACTATTGGTTGCATTGCTTTCCACATGTTTTAGACCAAATGTGAATTTGTGATGTTTGAATCTTTTGTGTCTTTGTTGAATTCCTTTTTAAAAATTCATTGTTTATTGGTGCATTTTAGGTATACAATATGATGACATTCATCATTGAGAATTTGTACCTTTACAT